GATGTCCAAATCACTGTAAAAGTTGATTACAATTTTATGCACTATTAAAATATTAACTTTAAACATTTCAAATGAGTTCTTTACTAAAGTATAGTTTCTCGGTGATGTTGTGGTAGTAGGTAATTGTACGCTCGGTCGTACACAAAGTTGTTCAACAATTGTTGTGTCCGGAGGTTAGAGCCTGGAGATCTGTGACACAGTTTTGTACCTAATATGGAGTCCAGTCTCTTACAAAGGTCTTTGAGTTACAATTTCTCCATGTAAGTTAGCCATAAGACTATTACTTTAGTGGAAAAACCTTTGTAAAGAGGCAATAAAGATGATTATTATTATTATTATTGTTGTTATTATTGAAATTGTCATGTTTTAAACTATCAATTTTTGAATTTTTTAGTAGCAATTAAGCTCCTTGTGGAATAATTCGTCCAGGCATACCTATTTCTTAATGTGAGGTTTCGAAGTGTAAGGGTAATGTCGACTCGATATCCCAAGGTGACGGGTGCAGCGGCGGTGCTCCTCGAAACTTTGGGGTTGTAGCTCCGAGTACCCTTGTTATACGATATTCAAACAATTAAAACATGGTAGTTTGGTATTATGTAACAAAACAAAAACTTAGAATTATGCCATGGACACGTTTCGTCCGACTTAGGGAAAGGCAAAAGCGAAAGGACAATTAGCACTAACCCATTCACATGTCAGTGTAGGTTGTCATAATGGATCATAAGACACGGTAATTAAATTACATACTCACCTTAGAAAACAAGGTACGTTTTGCAAGACAAACTACAAACTGTAAATTAAATTTGTATTTATTTGATATTTAATTATTTTTTGTGAAATTACTCCACTAGTGTGTAATAATTATTATTACAAAGATCGAACACTTCGAAAAAATTCCCTCGACACAAAATTAAATACAATTAATGGCGACATCTCCAGGCAGGGCAGGTAACTGTAAAGTTACCTAAATGGGTGACGAAATACTTTTATAGAGGTCTCATAGTTGGCGCTACGTCTAAAACGTCGTTGAAAACCAAATACGAAGATCCGACAAACAAGCAATAAAAAAATTCGTTCCGTACCTTAAGTTGGTATATAGCATGGTTTGCTAGAAGACGTTGGTTCGAATCCGGCCGGATATAGGGAATTTTTTCTAAGTGCTCGTTGAATTAATAACTGTAGAAATTGTAAAATTCTTGCTTTTATACCAACGTACTTGTACTAATACAGTCAAAATAAGATGACAGACACCAAATGCACTAGAAACAAATAAAAGCTACATTTTTCAGATGCAGATGTAACTTTATTACACCAAGTGTGTGATATATAGGCTATAATACAATTGCTTTAATTATGAATGCAACGATTTTCTATGGTACAAAGAACAATTCCTTCGATCTGCATTTTTTTATTGTCGCGCACTAGGGGAACCCTGTGTCGCGAATGTCATGGTCACATAGACAACCACAAATTACACCCAAACTCACGAGAGAAATAAATGTAGGCCATACAAAAATTTCTCCCGGCCCGAGAATCGAACCCAAGACCACTGCGTGGCAGACCAGCATGATAACCGTTCGGCCACGAAGGCAGTAAATTGATATAAAATTAATATCATGATAGTAAAACATCATGATATTCAATAAAAAATAAATATTGCAAATATATAGTTCTTTCCAAAAGCCTTCTTTCTAACTCCTCTCAAGCGGATCTAGGCAAGAATTAACTGTTTGTACTTGGCTTAACTTAATTGGTGGATGACTTAGTGGGAGAACAGTTACTACCCGATTGAGAAGTTGTATGAGATTTTTCAAGTAGACATAGAAATGAGACTCCAGTGAGTGTTATAAATAATATTATAAGATCTTTCACTATAAATTCAAACAAAACAAAACCACGTCTGTTCTAGTCAAAGATGCTTTTCGTAATGGCGGCCGCCCGTTAACGTTCCGTCAACAATATCGATTTATTTATTATTTAGATAAAACTAGTTTTTATTGAAACAAGGTAAATTTTCTAACAAAATAAAATAACTTATTGTCACGATTCGCTAACAGTTGGCAGTTTCAATTATTAAGGGTGCGTACAGATCTGGCGAATGCGCCACGAAATCGCTGCACGCGCGCTGCACGAGTGCTGCGTTTTGAATTGCACGTAAGTAAATATCTATTAATATTTGTGTCAGTATAATATGGAAAGAAGAGTGCTCAACGTAAAATTTAAAGATAAAGTAAAACTAACTACAATTAAAAGGAAATTAAAGACTGAAAAAGTCACAAACTGCCGTTGGACGGTACGTATGATGAGAGAAAAAATTGATAAGTGGGCATTCGCCAGATCTGTACGCACCCTAAGGCGACATGTACCTATAAACACATGTTTGAACCAAATATTGATGAAACTGAACTGGCTGAGGCAAAGGTTCTGGAAGGGGCACAGATACAGGTGGTAATGGTACATATTTGTGGGGACCCATCTGCAACTGTGGTCCTTTGTGGGGTATGGAACTCTTTTTTGTTGACACACCTTCTATTGTAGGTTTTCTGTGATTGTTCTGGATTTCATTTAAGTTTTTTGTGTTCTTTGTTAAAACAGCTGATAGAACTAATTATATTGTTTATCTCGTCACGACAAGTCATGTTATTTTTATTTTGCGGAAAAGAAAAGGCTCCTGTCTTTACACCTGAGTGTGGTCTCCGATCCGGCTCGAAGGACCACAATATGTAGCGGACTGTATCAATGGGATTCAGGTGTTATTGAAGAGTGAGCAAGACTATAGAAAATTCACACTGTTTATTTAAACATTGTACAGCAAATAGAAAACAAACAACTATAATAAAAAAAGACGTAAGTCAATGCCAAAAACAAATACATAGGAAATGAAACTATTTTTCCGGATTTAAATCACGTATATTTGTTTTTTCAGACAAACCGATTTCAGTCAACCGTGACCATGGGACCTGTAAAGGACCCGAAACGTCAGTTTGTTTGAAAAAACAAATATACGCTATTTAAATCCGGAAAAATAGTTTCATTTCTTCTGTGTAACAATCGCGAAAACCTAAGAACTCGATAAAAACAAATACATTTAAATTTAGAATTTCAATTTAAAACTGAACTGCTAAAAATACAATATAAAATTTATGTATGTTCAAAAAGATTTGTAGCGACCGCTCCGTTTCGCTATTTGATTTCTCAGTTAGCGGTCAAGGAAAAGAATCGTGACGAAATCTGTAATTGGAACAGTTTACGACATGTGAAGTCCCTAACCCGCATTGGGCCAACGTGGAGACGTATGGCCTAAACTAGGGTTTCTTGACCTGTGATCCATGGACTTCTAAGGGGTCTTAATATAATGCATTAACATAAAAATTGATATACAATTTGTTGTGAGTAAATAGGTACTGTGCCGCTTGACCTTAGTGACGATGCTGATCTCCTTCGTCGTCACCCCACCTTTTTATCACCTTTACTGGTTCCTGGGCATATACTTTTAAAATTTTGAATCGTTCTCGAATTCCTTTACCTTCTACTATTCTTACGATGGTTCGTTCCGTAATCACTCCCATCAAAATTCTCGAAGCGAAAGGACGTGTTAATTAATCATCATGTAAAACTCAACTTCACGTAATTGTACTGTTTTTAAAGCATTGCATATATATACGTATATAGATCCTCTTGGGGAAAGTGGCTGCTCTTTATAGTTTAGTACTAGTAGGCAGTGTTTTGAATTATTTGTTCCTTTTTATTGTGTTATTTTTGTTGCAGCCTTTCTTTCCCTTTTCTTTTCCTCTCATTTTCTACTTCTGATAAACTGATGTGAACTGAGCTCTTTTTTTAAGTTTTTTTGGAGTGAGCAAGACGCGCGACAATGCAACACGCGGACGTTTCTTCTTCTTCTTCGTCTGTTCTGAGGTCCGTGGGCTCTTTGAAATTTTGAAAGAGGTCCGCGACTAGAAAAGGGTTAAGATGCCTAAACCCTCTCCTTCTAAAGAGACTCGTGCTCAGTAACGCGATGTATAACGGGTTAATGATGATGATGATCATTGGCTTAACATTTGCTTGAGTTTATTAGCGGTGGCACATTTTTTGGTACTGCTACACCGGTCCAAATTTTTAAATTATACAGATACGTAAGAAAACAATAAGAAATAAATGCATGAGAAATGTATATCATTTGAGATGAAACTCGCATTACAGAGGCGTGACTAAAGGGAAATTACACACGTGAAGCTTACGGCGTCAGCTTTTTACAATTATTTGAATTCTTTGGGCAACTAATGGCTTAATATTTACGTATGTAATACCATTGCGAGACGTAGTTTTTTGTACTTGCATGCACATAGGTAAGCTAGGCTATACAATAGTTTTACCGCGTAATATGTTGGTTTAAATAAAAATTTTATTATTATTTCACACATCGGGTTTTCGCGATGGTTACACATAGGAAATTAAACTATTTTTCCGGATTTAAATCGCGTATGTTTGTTTTTCAAACAAACCGACGTTTCGGGCCCTTTACAGGTCCCATGGTAACGATTGACTGAGGTGGTACAGTCATCAACCAGTTATGTCTAATATTAATGCAAACCACCCTATTTTTTCACTATAGTTACAAAAGTTATTAATTAAATGCCTTATTTTTAATTTTACATGTTTACAAATTAACTTTTTTTTAAAAAAAATTAAAAAAAAAATTAGTTTTACAAAAACGACGTATTTTTATTGAATAAACCAGATGCTATATAAATGACGCAAACAAGTTTTTTCTTCATCCTATAAAGTTGTCAAAATTTAGATAGTACCCATTGCCAGTTCGCAGTCGATATGATATATTATGGTTAATTACGATGTAGAGCGTAAACAAAACAAAAGTTTGAAAGCAATTGCTGTCCGATCTAAGCTAACCTGAGCGTCCTCATTTGACGCTTTTATCGCGCATAAAAACAGTCAAGTTAGTGCGTCATAAATGTTTAACATAATACACTCTCTTGTTCTAGGACGAGCGAGTTGGTGGCGCTGGTAGCGGTATCTTGTACCTTGTTCCTGTTTCTACATACTCGCGACCTGAGTACCAAATTGCAGCGCATGCAAAGACTCAACGATGACGTCACGGCCTTCAACCACCTCACCGACAGTAAGTTCATTTGTTGTTGTCGCTTGCATTGACGACTGCCAAATTGGGAATAAGCGAACTTGTGAACACGGCACAGCCACCAGAGCTGCGAGTTCCGGTACAGTATACATGACGGCATCCTAGGTAGGTGTACATACAGTACCGTTACTCGGTACCAGAAATATATACGAAATACTTTTCTAGAATATCCTATGCAATATTTTGTAGCAATTACAAACACTTATTTACACAATTCCTCTATTCTCGATTGGGTTAAAATCTGTCTAAAATATAACATAAAACAGGGCTATTTAATAAATACTAGCGACCTCGCAGGGCTCTATTATCAACATCATAAACAATAATTTTTGATCCACGACTTTTTACAAAACAATAAATTATCTAATATAAATTTTTAAGTTTTGGTTGTACTATCTGACACTTTTGAGATTCTTATCTGGTAGTAAGGTAATAAGTTTAATCCTGCAAGCAAGGACCCCGACGACCCCCACCGCCGCAGGTTCTGCATTTTGTACAGAGTTATCACCGTTTTGAGCGTTTTATTTTTAAATATTTTTATTTTGTAGGAAAGTAAAATGTTAAAAGCATGGAGCAGAAGTTGTTGTCTATGATGTCCAGCGTAACGGTGTTTTCACACGTCTCGTTACAAAAAGCTGAGTGGGGATAATTTTGGTATCATTTTAAATGTAGATACTTTTGTGAGATACTTTTATTTTGTGTTTTATCTAAGGCTATTTAATTTTTTTCTTATCATTCATACTGTTAATATACGGTTACCAAATAAACTTTTTTTCTTTCTTTCTCGTAATATAGTCATGTGAAGTTGTTAGAATTTTACAAATAACTCTGTATCTGATTTTCAAGAACCATATTTTTACTTGTTACACAGTCGTATTCAAAACACGTTAAATTTTATTGTTCAGAAGACATAAAACTTTCTACTTATTAAAACAATCACGTGACAACACTGGACTGCAGATTCGTTGATTTTGCGCGCCAGATATGACTCAGCTTTTTAAAGAAAAGTTCCTGATGAAGTAAATGTTTTTGAGATTGGTCTATCTAGAAAGCCAACGACATGTACTGTAAGAAATTGTCCATAATATTCCATTTATTACTTCAGTGAATAAGAAAGTTTAACGAACGATAAACTATAATAGATCGCGGCATCATGGCACATGCATGACGCTATCATAAGATTATGGAGATAGCGTTCATGATACGTTGCACTTTTGAAAAAAACACAATTAACACTTGAAATTAGAGGTTGCACGGTACTGACGGGCCGTGAAATGAGGAACATGTTTGAGGCGCATTAATTAAGCTGCCCGTTCACCCGCGCCTAGATTACGCACCCAGATTGTAAGGAATGAAGACACGCGATTTTTATTACCTATCAAAACGTTGGATTAATTCTTAGACACAAATACGACATCTATGTTCTTATATTAGAAAGTAAAGAAAAGAAAGAAAGAAAATACATTTGTTTGCAGACCTCAAATGACAGCACACAAGAAAAAAAAGAAACAGTAATAAACAACATAGAAAAAAAAGAAAAAGAAAAATATAAAAAAAAACTTCATTAAAAAATACTTACACAAGACTCAAATAAATAATTACAAAATAAAACCACAAATAAAACGAAATACCAAATTAAACCACAGATGAATACGCAGATAGATCGTAAAAAATATATAAATTCAAATGAAGATACAATTCCATCGTGCTTTTAATTACAATTCTGAAATAACGTCTTTTATTGAGACCGTTCTATTTAGAAAACAGGAGCTTCTATTTCATCGAATCGCAGTGCACGTCACTGTAATGAATATAACAAATAAAATAAAAATAGAACTTGTATTTCTCGTATTCTCTCGCCGACATATAGAGTGTCGGATTTAATTTAGCACGCGTCGCTGTCCCTGTAAGTGCATACATGCATCACACGAGACGGCTGCCGGCTTTTGCACTTTCACTACCCACGAAAAAATAATTTCATGGCATCTGCGTCTCTACGGATACCGTTCACTGCTCTCCGTTTTTTACCCGAGCCCTGGGAAAAGCCCGTTCCATTTAATTCGATCAATAGTTTTTCGAATTGTCTCCGTTCCGTGCTGCCGACTTGCCTCTGCTTCAATAAATCGATTGTCTTGGTTCAATTGCTCGATCGTGGTTATTTTCTGCAAATTGAAAACGGGGTTCGAGGTTGCCCGCAGGTGGAGAGTTTTATTATTTTTTGTAATTTCTATTCCATTGCATTGATAATAATAGTAGTGAGATTGCTTTGACGTTGTTACTGTTAGTTACATTAAATTCACCTTCAAATGAATAATAATAATAAATTCAAAATTAATATTCTAGGCCTTGGGAGAGGCGAGAGTCTAAAATAGATAATAATTGAAATAATAAAATCGTTTATTTATCTCAACACATTAATAAGTAACAAGTCTGAAAATTATTTAAAAAAGAAACAAAACTCGACTGTAAAAGTATTTAGCTGCAAAGATAACAAAAAATATTCACCCTCACTATATTGATTATTTTTTATAGCCTATGACACTCCCGCAAACAACACGAATCCAAAGACATCTCATATGTCAAAATCAATCAAGCCGTTTAGGATGTACAGCGTGACAAAGAAATGGACATACATACACTTGAAAAACATAACCCTTCCGCAGTCGGGTAAAAATAAATATAAGCTATACACAGTGTTTAGTAGCAACAGTGGTGGTGTGAGAAAAAAAGGCCAAAGAAATTATTAGTTAGTTCATATACTTATAATTAGAGGTGGGCGTTTAAACGAAAAGCACTTAAAAAGTTTGCTTTTAGCGTAAAATTAAGCGTAAGCGTTGGTCTGTTCAACAATTTGATTTTTTACAACGTGCTTATGTTTCAAGACCCGCCGTCTATGTTTCCTAAACAAATTAATTCATCAATGTGAATAATAATTATATAAATAAAAAAAAAATCTCATGTTTTACAAACAAAGTTACTTATCTTAAATCCTTTAGTGGTCTACTCTTGCTTTTCGCTATCAAGACAACGTTGCAAAATTTTTTTAACATAAAGTCTTTGCGCTTAAATATTTTTCTGAACGATTTTGTAAGTTTCAAACTAAGAGTCGTATTCCAGAATTCTACTCAGTACTCAAGTCAGGACTTGAGTATGATTTAAAGCACTACAAATTATACTCAAGTCTTTGCCATTAGGATCGTATTTCCAGCGCTTGGAATCATATTCAAGTCCTGACTTGAGCATTGAGTAGAGTTCTGGAATACGATCCTTAAAAGCGTTTAAGTAAAAAGCGTTTAGAAAAGCACGCTTTTGAAAAAACCAAACCGTTTTGACGTTTAAAAAAATAAGCAGTTTTTCCCATCTCTACTTATAATGAGACACGCTGTTATTAAAGAATGATTTTACAGTTTTGCAAACACTGTCTATCTACGTGGTGCTGGCGAAATTATAGCTCATGTGTGGTAATTAAAAATAAGAATATTTGTAAGTTGGTTTGTAATTCACAAACTGTGTCATAGCATTCAGCTTTGCAACACAAATTATACACATCGGAACCACAAGCTAATAAGGTTTGGTGGTATGTTAGCATGCCGCTATGCAGCAACCGCAGCCGTTGCCGCGCGTCTGTGAACGGACATCGGCAGGAGCTGCGCACGCGCGCTGAGACGCGCCACTTCCTTATTGTCTGCTCTCGATTGCTTTTGATGATTGGACACGGCCAGTGCGAGTCAAGTACATACATGGAAATTGTATCTTATCTATGAAATTACCATTATTATACTTCAAGAAACTTAAGGCTATCGTTCTAAAGTGGTTTATGTCTTGCCATACACAGTCTCGGAGCCAATATTATAGTCTGCGATCAATGTCAACGGTGTAACGATAATCCGATAATTTGCTTTCCCAAGGCGCAAACCGCGGCTGAAAATCCACTTTCAAACCTTTAGTTTTTCCTCAGTGGAAAAGAATGGAAAAGCGTTTGAATTTTGACGAAGCTTATAATAAAAGCTCGAGTTTTGACTTTATTTTTTTTTCTCGTTATTTTTAACTAGCTTCAGAAAAAGGAGGAGGTTCTCTATCCGACTGTATTTTTTTGTGTGTGTATGTAATGCGATTAGTTTTGTGAACCTATTTCGGTAACTATTTTTTGTTGGAAAGCACCTCTTTCTGATCCCATACAAATTTGAAGAAAATATTTCACCTCTTAAGGCTGACAAAATACGGGATGATTCCGGTTTATTGGATTTCACCCACATTTCTTTAACCCATTTTAATAAAACTCCGTAAATGTATGTGGTTTCACATACTTTTGAGGTGGTTTTTTTTTATAAAACATTATAATTATTGTATCTTAAGATTCTTCGTCATATACCTACAGCATCGTTGTCGGTCACAAAGTGAACATTAGGATTCTTTATCGAATAATGTTACACCTAACACTTATCGCTCAAACATAGCAATTATTACTGATTGCCATGTTTGCCTCGAGGAGACCGTCGTGTGTTGTACCGGTGGATGGCCATGTTGGCAAATTGTCAGTTTTTGTGGCCTATAATTGTTGCATAACATAACATAATAATGTTAACGAACTCGGTCACGGGAGACCACATGAGGGAAAAGTTCGTACACATAATGTCGGTAGGGAGGGTCGCCATAATGAAAACTTATGTAGGGTACTAAATATTTACTAATATGCATTTAAAAAGTACAAACAGCAGTTAAAACTAAGTGTTTTTTGAAATACTGCACATGGATTTAACAAGTCATTAAATAAAATGCTGTGATAGTTTTTTTGTTTAATTTTAAATACCTAATTTTTTTTTATGATGCAAAGTGATAGGACGAACAAGTCGTGCGCAGAGCATTCAATCGCAAAGATCTGAGAAGTACTGACAGTACTAAGTTGAAATGTCTCATGTGTCTGTATTGTCCCCCAATTAATAATTTATAATAATAGCTAACTTTAGCTAAAGTAAGTAACT